ATCAAAGTACAGTAGAAAAGAAAAACCATAGTGATCAACCTCTAATGTGTGAGCCAAACTGTACAGCTTCATGATGATTATCTGTGTTATGCTCTGAAATTAGTGTAATAAACAGCAAGTCATAAAGAAACCTGTGGTTTGCCACACAGCCATAGTTATCTTGAGAAAAAGAACTGAATGTGGAAGCTCAATATGACTGTGAATAAGTGCAGAGCCTCTAAAACACAGAATTCATGATGAAAAATAATGCAGAGTAAACAAAAATAATAATAAAAAAATTTACAAGGTTCTACAAAGAGATATTTTTATCTACCTACCCTACTGCCTGAGTAGCCAAGGTTAATATACAAAACTGCAACAGTATCAATGTTCATTCCACCACATGTGTGCAGTTTCTGGCTGGGATTGAGTAATTTTCCTCCCAGTAGCCAGTGTGTGTTTTGGATTTGTGTTGAAGAAGGCATTGATAACCCCAGGATGTTTTAAGCATTGCTGAGCAGCACTTACACAGATCCACTTACACAGCTTTCTGTTCCTCACCCCACCACTGCAGGCTGCGGGTGCAAAGGGCCCCAGCCCTTCAGAGGGATATCCCACACCATATGGCCTCATGCTCAGCACATAAAGCTGGGGAAAGGAGGAGGAAGGAGGAGAGTGTTCAGAGTGATGGCATTTGTCTTCCCACTGCACTGTTACATGTGGTGGAGCCATCTCAGCTTCCCTGGAGATGGCTGAACACCTGCCTGCTGATAGGACAGCGTGAGTTAATTTTTCTTTTGCTTATGTGTGCAGCTTTTGCTTTCCCTATTAAACTACCTTTATCTCAACCCACTTTTTCCCCTTGTGATCCTGACCTGGGGTGAGTGAATAAGAAATTGTGGGGCTGAGCTGTCATGACAAGAAGATAGTTTGAACAGTGCACAAGTAAAGTGAAGGTTACCCACTCTTATGTATCAATTAAAAGTATTTGAAGCTACAAAATTGTCTTTTGTGAAGAAACAATTAGACTGCAAGAGATGGGTACAAGTTTAAAGCTGTAGCCATTTAAAGGACAGTGAGATGATTAAACACCTGCTACAGCTAACAAAGCAGGAGCAACAGCTAATATTCTGGTGCTTGGACATTCTGCAACTCTAGTAGCATGAGACAAAGAACTAAGGTACAAATCTTGGCTAGTGTTTCAATTCAATTTAGAATAAGCGTAGGGATTAATTAAAAATACAATGTTGCAATGAACCTCAAATGATAAAAAGACCACACCCCAACTAGACAGAACTGCTGACAGTTCATCCAGTCCTGAGCCTTCAAAAGGCAGGGAGGCAAGACAGAGCAGATCCCTCCAATAAATCTGATTGCTCTTCACACTCTTAAGAAATTTCACGAGGGCACAAATGTATATAAGCCTACACATCTTTGTTCTTAAATGAAAGACACTTCAGCATTCTCTTAACCTGCTACAGGAGCCTCTTTCACCCAAAATCCACAAAGAGCAGTTCCCTGTGCCACAGGGAGAGCACACAATGCTGCTGGGGCCGAGCAGTGACTGATGAAGGTGACCTGTCCCCCGTCATTGCCGTGTGTAGCAGCAGACCCCCACGGACCCCCTCTGATCCCTGCACCTCCTGACACACCAGCGGCACCCCAGGCTAAGCTCCTCACTGACCGACTGCTCTGCTCAGCACACACGGGCTGGCTCTCCTGGCCGCTCAGTCCAGTGCTCCTCTCTCCTACAACACTGAGGAGACATAAATACATCCCTGGAAAGCTGTGCCACCCAGGGTAAAATGTTGGGAACTATGGAAAGAAATAGCTTCAAGCATTTCATTCTGCATCCATTTCAAAACCAGTATTTACAATTCCAACATCCTTCCAGCAGGACACAACAGATTACCACACTGAAAACAGCTACAGCCCCTCCTAGTTTGCAGTGAATGAGCTTTGATTTTGTCATTGCTGTCCACCAGAGCAAAGAAATTCTGAGTCACCACAGTTTAGGTGATGAATGACAAGTCACTGCAGTCATCTGAGTCTCTTGTCTCAGCCAGAGAAAAATGAAGACCACCAAAAGTGGGGTGAAGTCAGAAACTGGAGGTGTTTAAGTAAATCTTCTTTGATAGCCTTCTGGGATCTACATAGACTTTTTTTTTTTCCTACTTTCCCCTCAAGAAATGTTTTAAGTTCTTAATGAGGAAATCTCCACTGGCTTCTGTGACAGTTTCCCAGAAATCTGAACTGAGCAATTAAAGGATCATGCTCTTACATTTTAAGTCACATCTTTAAAACAGAAAATATGGTGTTGTCTGGGCTATAAATTCAGTCCAGAAGAAATATTTATTTAAAAGTAATTCCTGAGGTTACAAGAAGCGTTATTTTTTCTACCAATGAAAAACTGTGGCATAATAGAAGCTGACTGTAGCTCATATTGGCATTATCAAGGTTCATGCTACACATTAGACATGGACCATGAAACACTAACCTGAAGGCAAAGTAATTTCTAATATGAATTGCTCACGCAAAGGTAATTCGGAATTGTGAAAAATAAGTCTCTCCAACCTCAATTTTCATCTTCACATTGTCAAATATTATCAAAGAGAGCATTAATGTGATGTTTCAAAACCTACAGTTTGCCGAAGAATATTTTCCTTCCTCTGCCACCTCTTTAAAAATCTTTAAATCACAAAAGTTTAAAACCTTTATTTTGAATCTAGAAGGGAGAGTCTAAAGATATTATTTATCTAGTCAAGGAAACTCTGCCTTTAGAAGTTCTGACCCCCTAAATGTGGGCAGATTTGCTGGAAGTTATCAGAAATAATATGGACAATTCAAACTTTATCTGCAAAAATCCACACGTATACCTCTGTTTATTGGAATTTTAATGTATTAGGTAACCAAGTTTATCAGAAAATAATTAGAACCTTCAGATGAAGGCAGCTTGTAACAAACAGGGACCAAGTCAAAAACATTCAAATGATAGGCACAAGAAAATTATTTTGGATATAATCCTGTACAGCAACACTTGAAGTTTAATTAGATTGAGCTCCTGCAAAAATGGTCAAGGAAAATTTTACAAATGCCCTCTATAACCTAAACTGTTCCCATTGATGACAACAGCACTGTAATCAGAATTTCCTAAAAATCCCCCCATTACAAGAGTTTCCCCACAGTACAAGAGCTTTTTATAAATAAACTGCTCTGTTCTAGTTTGTTTATCACTCTAGGAGTACATGCAGAATACAAAGGATACATAGGCTTCAGAGGTATCTACACTGGACAGATTGAGGTAATACAAGAGATAAAACATGACTGGAAATTTTATCCTTTATTTGCCAGGAGTAATGACAATGTTCAAAACTAGATGTATCTGATCTTTTTTTGTTGTTTTAGTTTGTTGGTTTTTTTGTTTTTTTTTTTTTTTACTGTGCAGGTTGCCCAGTGAGTTTGTGGACTTTCATCCTTGAAGATTCGGTCCTAGGCAGGTGGGTGTGCCTAGCTCTTGTCTAGCAGAGGGAATGGACTAAATAATCTCCCAAAGAGATTTCATGAAAGGTATTATCAAGTATACAGTCTAAAAATATATCTCTCTTCCCTTTACATGTAACAATGAAATAGAATTATAAGCATGACAAGAAACTCTGACCTTGCAATGACCTATTTAAAACATAAACATTTAAAAACTGTGTAAACAGACTAAAAAGCTTTAAGTCAGACTGTGAACTGTTCCTGCACTACTGTTTTAAAGAGCAAGATCACATTAACTGAGAGAAAGAGCTACATTATTAGCAGTGCATAAAACTAGAGTTTTTGGTCCTAGGAAAGGAAACAGAACAGAACCAGAGAATCATTTAGGTTGGAAAGGACATTTCAGATCATTGAGTCCAACCATTAACTCAGCACTGCCAATTCCACCACTAAACCATTTCCATATCTGTCACATCTACACACCTTTTAGATATTTCCAGGGGTGTTGCCTCTATCACTTCTATGGGCAGTCTATTCCAACATTGACTACTCTTTCAGCACAGAAAATTTTTCCAAATATGCAATCTAAACTTCCCCTGGTGCAATTTGAGGCCATTTCTTCTTGTCCTGTTGCTTGCTACCTGGCAGGAGAGGCCAACCCCCACCTTGCTACAACCTTCTTTCAGGTTTTCTCTGGGCCTTTTCTTCTCCATCCTATACAACCCCAACTCTCTCAGTTGCTTCTCATAGGACTTGTGCTCCAGACCCTTCCCCAGCTCCATTACTCTTCCCTGGATTCACTCCAGCCCCTCAGTGTCTTCCTTGTAGTGAGGGGCCCAAACCAGAACAGAGGATTTGAGGTGTGGCCTCACCAATGCCAAGTACAGGAGGATAATCACTGTCCTGGTCCTGCTGGCCACACTACTACTGATACAGGCCAGGCTGCATTTGGCCTTATTGGCCACCTGGCACACTGCTGCTCTCTAAAAAGGCGGAATGCCGTATCTATTACTATACTATACTATACTATTGTATAAATTCAGCATTAAAAAGTCAGAGTTGTTTATATAAATATTAAATTTGTCCCATTTTGACCATGTCCACATACATTTTGTTTACGACTTTTAACACTTTTTACATACTGAGTGTAAGGGAGCCAATACTTGCTTTTCAGAGGAAGCTTTTAATAAGATTGTCTGAAAAGCAAACCCTTAACAGAAAGTGACAAGGAGAAAAGAGAAGAAATTCTCTGAATATCCCATTTGGGACTGAGTGCTTATCAGAGATATACGCTCTGGACCACAGGGGAGAAATAGGAGATACTTGACACTGATGTTTGCAATTTATTCTCATTGAAGTCCTAAAAATGTGTTCTAAAAATCCTGAGCACCAAAGCAATGTCAAGAAAAACCAAACATGGTACATGTTTTCATAGATATGATTAGCAGCAATATGTTACATTCACACAGCAGTTTCAGACCTTAGGGTGCTTCATTCTGTCTCCTTTTCAAGCCCACAATGCACTGGCTTGCTTTACTTACTAGTAGCAGTAGCAGGACAATATCAGGATTATCACAGGCACAGGCTACATGCATTGATGTCCAAAAATCCTCATCTTGATGATTTACATTCACTCCTCTGTCAATTAGAATTTCTGCAGCAAATGCATTATCATAGCGAGCACACTGGAAGAAAAAAAGAGCAGATTAGGGATGGTGTTTTCCTCGGTGTACAACTAAATTGTTACACACAATTTAAATTGGGCAGATGACACATTGTAGTTAAGCTGCTGTGTTTGTAGGGAACAACAGCTGAGGAATCTATAGAAATAACTGTGTGGAGATTTCCAGTTCCACGTGCATGACTCACAGAATCCCCTATTTCCTAATGAAATCTGCTGAATCTACTATAAGGACGAGGCTTTTTTCCTGTTCAATACTGCCATTCCAAATCAGTGCACAGACATCTGTGCACGACCATGAGTAGTGGTATCTAAGTATATGTGCACCCACACATACATATGTCCATGCATACATGAATTTCTGCATTTTATGCAGTTCAGAGTAATATACACCCCTCTTCATACCTCACTTCTATTTCCAATCCACTAACTATACTGATTCCTGTCTGAATCTCTTTGCCAGATGAATACTCTGCACACTGAGAGTGTTATTGTGGGGTGGAGGGATGCACGTGTGTGTATGCGTGTGTGTGCATGTTTCTATACCTTGGTCATGGTCACAATTTTGGTAGAGAAGAAGAAAATAGCCTAGAAATTGTGTTGACCTTACTCCTCTGTCATATCTATGACTTTTTATGCATAAGGTTATGGACAATACCTTTAAAGGCAATCAGGGCACCTCAAGTTAAGATCCTGACTCTGGCCTCACATACAATCTCATAACTCTTTAGAGAAGGAACCCATCTCTTTCCCCATGGGGGAGAGGATATGGGGAGACTAATTTTAATCTGGCATGGAAGCCAGGATACAAAAGGAAGTGAGGAAGAAGGAAAAGTGTGACTGGATTTTACTCTCAAGTCAAGATATAGTTGAGATCTTCAGCAGAGTGCTGCAGCTGCATGTACCCCTGCAATCATAAATATAGATAACCCAGAAGATTAATATTAAATTCTATCAGGATAAAAAAACCAGTCCCATCCTAAATGATTTCCAAATACACTGACCATTAAATTATAGAACAGAAATTAAATTTTGATGTATTTCTTTTAGCTCGTGTAACTTATCCAGCAGCTCTAGTAAGAGTTTTGTTCTGTTGCATTGGTACCATTCATTGTATCAGTACAACTGAAATCCAGCTGTTCTGTGCTGAAATTTAACAATTCAGAGGTAAAACATTTTATATTTCAGATCAGCAAAATCTAACACCAACCATATTTTCAAGACATTGGTAACAAACAAACAAACAAACCCCCAAACCAACAATTTCTAGAGATGACAAGTATCACTGAGCCATTTTGTGCATTAATAATAGACATAGAGCATTTGGTGATTAATTGCAGCTTAGATTTGTTGCTGTTCCTTGATTCCTGTTTAATAGACTTTGTGAAATAATTGCACAAGCTCAGTTAAGGCTCCAGAATAAAACTGTGACACGCATACTTTGTTATAAGGGTGGGGGTGTGTGACTGCCTGTGTGAATTGACCTGACACCACGTGCTTTGCACTGCACAGGCAGCTCAGGCACCTACTCCCTTTTTATTGTACTTCTCCTCTCATGGAACCTAAAGAGAGTTCAGTGAATATTTCTGAAGTTCCCACAGCTTGCCTAGATTAAACCATATTGGGATACTCTCTCCACAGACAAAACCAGAACCTTTATCAAGTGTCACATTTGGGGGTTTTTTTAGAATTATATCGCATTTTGATATGAAAAAAGGAAAATGGAATTTTATAATGAATCAGATTTTAAGAAGAATGTCAAGATACATATATATATTTTCCACCCATTCTGACACAAAAACATTTAGCCTACAAGTGGAAAGAATAAATACCAAGCTCCCCTTTGGACCAAGCAATCTCACAGTTGTAAAACTAGCACTTAGAATGGATCTGAGTGGGCTTTAAGAATATAACAGAGGTGTATGTTAATTACTAGTTTCAAAATTACTAGTTTCTTGCTGGAAAATAAATTTGGCTTATCTTGTTTCCCTGTATCATGATTCTCCTCTCCTGTCTGTACTGCTCCCAAATCAGGGTCAAATACAAATTTCATTGAATTCAGGTTTGCCTCTATCTCCAGGAGGATGAGCATTTTCTTGTAAATGAATTATGAGTACTTACAAGTACCTCTGACTAAACTGAGGCAGTAGGTTACACATGGCTCTCTATTGCAAATTTCTTACTGCAAAAAGCTTTCCTTCCTTTGGAAGCATGTGTGCCTGTGAAGCAGCAGGCACCACTTGAGCGATGATGATTGCGACAGTGAATTTGGGTGTGATGCAGATCAAGAAACCTAAAAAGGCACAGCTCAACTGTAGATTTTATCAGCAGTTAAAAACTGTGCATCAGCTAAACTAGATAAAGCAACGTAAAATCCCTGAAGATGAATTTTTCTTTCTTTTATTTTAAAATGCCTGACACTTAGGTCAAATCACCCACACTGAAGATAAAGATTGTCTCCTAGGGCTTTTGGAATGGGGTAAGATTAGGGATGCCTCTGTTTTGGGAAGCCCAAAAATAACATTTCATTTGGACTGCATTTTTAAAGAGTGGTTGAGCATTTTTACAGCAGACAAATAGCTGGAGAAAAAAGAATTAAAATTTTCTCTCTTCCAAATAAGTACTGCCCTTTCCCTTTACTTTGGCCTCTACTTCCTAAAGTCCTTGGTTAAATAGCATGGCCATGGAGGATGGAAAACAAAGATTAATTACATAACAGAAATGCTGTATGTTGCAAGACCATGGCCACAGGTGTGCTGGAGTCCAGTAATATTACAGGAGCTCTTTCTCATCAATAAATTGCTGTATTTTGTACTCATACTATAAGAAATGTAATCCAGCAGTTATAAAACGAAACACTCTCCCAGCAGACTTTTCATTATTTTGCTCAGTTGCGTTTCTTTCAGCCACAGTGTGCAGCAAAGTTGGATCCAAGCGTCTTAAAATAGTTTCAAAGAGAGCATGTCTGCAACTGAAGCATCACAGACCAGGATGATAAGATGCAGGAATTATTTATGAGTTTTTCTACTGGCTTCAGCAATGCCAAAATTCTACTCCTATGGTATTTTCTGTTTGCCTGTCATGTCCTTACCTCTTGTTTTTGCTTTCACTAGTATATACAAACTCTTTTTCTTTTATCTTCTTGTTACTTAATCTGAATTGCTATGCAAATAATGACAAACTAGATGCAGATAATGTGTTAAATATCCACAAGTAGGAAACTGGTGCAAGAAAGTATCACAAAAAAAAGGAAAACTGCTAAATCATGGGATTTTTTTCATATTAGACCTGTGAACCTTTGAGCCAGATAAGTTAGTATTTGGAATAAAGCAGTCTTTCCTTTGCTCTTTCTTGCTGCACAGATAATTTATAAATAAAACACTTCATTCTCCTTTGTTAGCTACCATTCTACCACTGTGACATGATCCATTCTTTTGTAAGCAATTTGAATATGACCATTTATTTAAAATGAATAGCTGCATGCAATCACAGCCATGGTAGAGCTCAGTGCAGATTAAAAAAAACTGCTAAGCCTTTCTTTTTTGGATGAAAATCTGCTACTCACATTCCCACCTTGTTTATTCACAGTCACTAACAATAATCTTCAATCACTCTTACCACATGGAGCAAGGAGCCTCCTGAGGAGAGAAGCATGTGAGGATCAGCACCATCCTTCAACAGTCGTAGCACTGAAATATCAAAGAAGAGAGGAACAAGAGTTAATATACATAATATAACACCAGTACACTTAATTCTGAACTCTTAATAGGCTGATTCTTAATCATCTCCATCAGGGGATTTAATAATACATTAAAATCTCTTATGTAACTGCAAAACTATCTTGTCAGCATTTACCATCTCACCTGTTTTAATAGCTAAGCCTATAAAGCAAAAGACCTTTGATAATGAACAATAAATATCAACAGTACCAAAGACTTTTCAAGTGTACAGATGAGCATGTCAGTTTTGTACATATCAGAGGGGAGGGGAGGGCTGGAGCAAAGAGCTTTGTCAAGATCACAATCACCTTGTTTCATTTAGGAGCAAAATCACAGTTAACTGCTTTTACTTTACTTTTTAAAGACCTCATGCCATATATTGGCTTTTTCAGTAAATACTTGAAACTAGTATTCCTAGCTGATAGCACTTGAAATTAATCATCATACCAAAGCTAAATGATCTGCACTCAGTTTAACCTTTCCAGTGCATTGTCAGACCACTGATGCAGCATAATCTTTAAAGTGATATTTGGAGCCACACTCTACTCTGAGTTACATGTATCAAATCCCTTTGAAATGAAAACAGGCTTATAGGTGCAGGCAAACCCCCAGCCCTTCACATTGGTGCTCGCTCAAGTGTGTAAATTCAGCACTTTTCCCCATGGTCTTTATTGCCTTTATAACCTTTTCAGTCTGAATCAAAGCACTGACTAACTCACAGTGCTCATTCCTTGAGCAGACCTGCCCAGCAGCAGTGCCTGGCAGAACCTGGGGATTCCACACCAGCACTGCAACCCTGTCTTCAGCAAACTGGCATGAAAAACCCTTTTAAAGGGCCTCTCTCCATGAGAATAGCTGCCAATATTATTTCCTGAGCAGGAGCACAGGTGGCTCTGTCTTCACAATCTGAAATCTTGAGCTTAATTCTTAGTTAAGATCTGGGATGGACTTGTGCAAACAGCTGCAAAGAAATTTTAAGTTGTGAATGGGTTCCACTGAGATGTCTGTCCTACAGAAAGGACAGAGATTTGTCTCAAGACTCTTCTGTGAATCTATCAACAGTCTCATGACCACCACCTCTTTCCTCTCTATACATTTTCTGTATCTGTTTTCTTTCTCCAAAGGATATATTGAAACTCCATTTTCACTGTACACTTAAGTGGATGAACAATAAAAAGGGAACCATTCCTTTCTGCTCTCTCAGATCCACAAATCTCATACTGAAGCACACCCTCATCCTCATTCAGAGAGACCGTTAAAAACAGAGGCTCAGAACTAAGAGCCTTTTCTTAATACCTAAATTTCTGACCAAATATGGAGATACTCTCTCTACCTCAGGTTTAAAGTGAGTAAAGACTTATAAATCCTCCTTCCTTAAACAGGCATGAAACTACATCCTTCTCAAGAGTTAATATTTCCAATGTTCCTATGTTATGCCATTTCTTTAGTAGGGCAGAAAATATTATTTCCATATCACAGAATATTTCTTAAGGCTCTGAGAAGAATTTCACTCTCCCAATCCCATCAGAATTTCACCTGTAGAAGTTAACACTCCAAAGTGTTCCCTTTCCTCCATCCCCTCCATTTTTTTTCCAGGGGAAAAAAAATCACATATTACATGGCGGCAGAGCAAGCACACTGTGGGTTGGTGGCAGAAGTTTTACATCGACTAGGACAGATATGAAACAGCATCCTCAGTCTGTGTTTCTGCAAGATGGGATAAGACAGGTAAGGCGTTAACCAAAGGAGTCTGTTTCCTTCCCCCATTCACTAAGGGACTTACACATTTTTACCTCTGGCTAAATAACACCAGCAAAAATCAAATGTGATTTTGTTTTGGGTCATTGAGATGAACTCAATCATTTTGAGCCTTGGGATCACCAAAAGAGGCTTTAGGATAGGCCCTTCTATGCAAAGACAGAGGATGAAAACTTTTCTCTTTTGGCAGAAGGAGGACACATGGAAAGATCAGTGGGTTGGGAAACCGCATTTCTAACAGTATTACACAAGAATTTCATCTGGAGCCTAAAATAGTAACCAAGAGACAGAAACTCCAGCTACTCAGGTATAAAAAATATGGGCAATTTTTTTGATATATTCCCCCCTCCAACACCTAAAGACTTGGTTCTCATAGAGAAGCTGTGCAAAGTAATGCCTTTCCAGATCCATTCTGCAACTCCTTGCAGTTGAAACCAAAAGAGCATCAGACCATTTCTAGATCTGAGTTTGAAATCCATTAGAACTAATTGGTTTGCCTTGATCTTTTTTCTACCAGCAGAAATGTAGACCAAGATTACAGCACAAAGAATTAATATGTTAACTGTGATGTTCAAACAGAATATTAAATAATTGTGATCATAAACAAATTACTGAGTCACATACAAAAACAATAGAGAATGTGGATAAAAGATGAGTAGCTTTTTTTCTTTTTTTGGAGTCTGGTGCCTTTTTCCTGATTATTGCACACAGCTTGATCAGTTCTTTAGGAAATTCCCATCACACATACTAGCAGGGCAAGATATGCAAACTGTCCTTTCAGCTGGGCAAAACTCTGTGTCCTGAATCAGGATTACGTGCTACATGCTTCTGTATTTAAAAATAAGTAAAAAAAATATTCTTTCCTTTAATTTATCCCCTTTGGAAAACACAATTCAAAAAGAAAATCAAGAAAAGAAGATCAAAAAAACAAATCCCCCTTCCTACTAGACAACTCACTTAGATCATTTACTTAAGACTTCACTTGTTCATATTATCATTTTCATAGAACTACTATCTAGAAGTAGTTAGATAGTAAATATACTAGCTACTGCTAGTGGTTTGGGATTTAATGCCATATTGAGGACAGAAAGTAATATAAAACTCTATTCAAGAAATGCTGAATATCTCTTAATTAATGCAATTTTGAGGAAACTTCCACAAGACTTTCTTTTAAAACTTATTTTACTTGCAATCTTTCATGTAAGGAAAGTTCACAGGAAAGATGAAAAGATGAGACTAAAAACTGGCTTAAAAGCAGGAAGCTGACATTTACCTGGAAAAAAAAAAAAAATCATCCCCAGAGTAAAAAACTTTCAGCAAACTCTGAAGCCTTTCTTGTGTGTGTATAAACAGGTCCATCCATTCTTTACTATCTTTTAGAATTGACACACAAATTATTTACAACTTAGAACAGAATTTCATACCTAATTTCACATCTAATAAAGATGTTTTAAAAGCATTGGATGCATTGAAGTCTCATCAGAAAAGAAAGGTAATAATCAATGGAGCTTTTTACGTATCCTCAATGTTGTAATTTTAACAAAATTATTCCAGAGAGCTGAATACTTTTTCACTTGCCATTGATTTTATTGACTAGATTATGACTTATAATACAGCCTTACAATGCAGTACAGTCATTACTGCTGTGCTGTTACCAGGCACAGGTCTTGTACTAATTTTGCCTGTGGAAATAGAGCTGTAAGGCTTTACTTTTTCTGGGCTTGTTTCAGCTTGCTTTGAGCTTTTAGTTGTTATAGCAAATGATGGCTGATGACAAGGTGACAATAACCTAACACAGTTTTGTTTAGCTTTTTTGTAACTGTGGTGCATAATGCATTAAGGATTTTGATATGCATGGCAGCAACCAGCATTTACACTGCACTGTTGTTACAATCCAGCTATTCTGGCATAAAGAGGTATCTGTGACTTTATGTCTGCTGCAGACAAAAGGAATACTGACCTGAAGTTACAGATCAGAATTTCAGAGCCTGAAAGATGAATGAATTCAGAGGGCTCAGGGCTATCAGTATCTCACCAGGGATATGCTACTGATGGCAGCACAAACTTGGGCATTGGGCATTCTTGCATTCACAGCAAACTCAGCTTTAGTCGTAACAGAACAGACAAAAATAAAGGCACCTAACATATGTAAAACCTAACATTTGCTCATCTACTGTACTGTATATAGGGTACCAGTGTATGCTCCTATTAACTGTTCCTCTGGGGAACAGCAGCCACCAAGTGTAGACTTTGTTTCTGTTAACATCTATTTTTGTTCTCTTTAGTTTAGCAGGAATAACTCCAGCTGGAAAGCTTTACTTGTTCATGATGTGCATAAACACGGCTTACTGCTGCAGAAGCATAGCTAAAATGCTGCTGATTCTGGAATGGATTGTCACATTCTCTTCCTACCCCAGGCTGCATGTGTTTGTCACTTGGCACACAGCAAAGATTAGTTTCTCAGCTAGACCAAGGATCAGGGAACGTGGCACTGGGTGATGGGTATGAAAAGGGAGAATGGTGTAGCCACCACTTTGCACTAACAGCTGAGAGAAGTTTGGGCATAAACTGACCATGAAATTGAATCACAACAGAAGTGATACTGAAAGATGTAATAGCATCCTTCCACTCCATCCTCCACTTCCACCAGTTAAGAGTCATGTTTTTCCCATTATTTCAGTCAGATATTTGGCCCACAGCTGGTATATATACTCTGTACAGATTAATCACAGAATCCTCTCCACATTCATACCTCTTTAGTTCTCTTTTCTCACTCCTCAGCAGTCACTCTATACTTTTTAGCTTGTACCAAAGGTGTTTATGAGAAACCTGGTACACAATTCAGCTACATGTGAGAACAGATGAATCCTAGTCTCTGGTAATTTCTTAATCATAGCATCAAATGAAATAATGCAAGATGTCATAAATGTTTGGTTAATGTAGTAGAAAAAATATTTTCCTCTTGCCTTTGCTATGAGTAGTTAAAAAAAAAAAAGTTTTTTAATCCAAGTACCAGTATTAGTAATTTTATAATTCTTTTATGGTGTCTTGTTTACCTAACAAGGACATTTGCTATCACTAGTGCAATGTCTCAGGCTTTCCTTCAGAGCAAGCTTATCAGTTGACAGTGTTTATTCAGAGCAGTCATGCCCTTAATGAGCTTTGCCAACAACTGATTTGTAATCCTACTGCTTTTTACATGAAGTATATCC